GACCGTTGCAGCTCTAGGGCACACCCTCGTATCTACATCGGGACCTTGTGTTTCCTAGTCTTTGGGGCTTCTTTGATACGTGCCAGCTCTGGATGAGCAAACCCCTGAAGTGTTGGCAATGCAGCTTCTGGAGTTGCATCAAGGTTTGGTTCTGGTAGGGTTTAGGTTTTCTAGAAAACAACATTCCCACTAGTGAACTGCTAAGGTGCTGAGGCTGAAGGTCGGGCTCAGGAAGAGTGCCGCATGGCTGGGTAAGTGCAGTAGATCATTAGGTAAAAGCGTTTCTCTATCTAGCAGACAGCATAGCAGATTGAGGGGTTGGATCTCGTCTCAGTTGGCTTGGTTAACTCATGGTTAGTTCACCTGTCTTTGGCTGAGCTTTGGTGGGGAAGGTTCACCTAAAAATAGTGGACGACTCAGGTAGAAGTTGTAGGAGTGAGTGAATTTGAATTCTTTATTAGGTAGCTGTATTTCAAATCAGGCATTTTACTCATCCTAACTGTGTTTGTATCCATTGAGAACTTGTAAAAAAATGTTTGATGTCAATGATAAGACTTTAAAAAAAAAAAAAACAGGCATAGGCTAATTAAAATTAAATAATAGAATAATCTGTTAAGTTTAATGGGCTGATAATAAGTGATTGACGAATTATTACGTTATTGTTATGATAAATAAATAAATAAATAAATAAATAAGGTCTTTATTCATGAGCGAATTTCGGTTACAAAACTGTTTTACAAATTGACTCAAGTCAGGACTTAAACTAAATAAAACCTCTCATAACTACTAAACAAAATAAGATTAGTTACAAACTCTTTAGGTGATTCTTAAAACTGGTGTAAGACAGTGCTTTTAGCTTGCAAGGAAGTGCATTGTACTGAGCCGGCGCGAAGTAAGAAAAACCCCTTCTACCAGCATCAAGAACAACCCTTGGTATGTCAAGCAACAAGTCCTGTCTAGTTCTGCGCTCTCTCACGGCCGACCTCGCTTTCAGTTTTTCCTTCAAGTACTGTGGTGCCTGAGTGACCAGTGTTTTGTGGACGATACATGCAACCTGCTTATCACAGCTCTCTCGGATGGACATTGTATTTGAGATCCTACAGTGACTTGTTATATGATCATACTTTTTTAGTTTGTATACGAACCTTAGGGAGCAATTCTGTAGCCTGTGAAGTATTGTGATCTGTTCCTGTGTTAAGCTGTATCCAAAAACAGGTAGGCAGTAATTTAAAGTAGGGAAAATCAGGGATTTGACGAACCTCAACTTGATGTTTGCTGGGAGCAATGTTCTGAACCTATTAAGCAAGCACTTTTAATTTTCCAACAACACATTTGCTTATCTGTTTTACATGGCTAGAGAAAGTCAGCTGTGAGTCAATTGTCACACCAAGAATCTTAATGCTTTTGGAAGTTGAAAGCTCTGAGTTATTAACTGTAACTTTGATGCTATTTTTTTCCAGCTGCTCATAGATTGCTGTATTGGCAAAGTGTATAGCGGAACATTTTGATATGTTGTACTTTACTTTATTGTTGCTGACTGATATAGCAGTAACATATCATTGACCAAAGATAATGTTTCAGCAATATCAGTAATATGTCCGGGAAGACTCTTCCCATGCCTGGACTCAGATCAGGGTCATGTCTCAGAGCTTGTCCAAGCCAATGTTGACTTCATGGATGGACTCTATCAAACCCTGATTGAACCTCCTATATGGAGGATCTACAAGACAAAAGGATACAGAAAGCTGGAAAATGCTCACATGACTATTTACAGGTGAACTTTTGAATTATTGTGTTCCTTTGATCAAAATAAATCGTTTGAGTAAACTAACTAACTATTTAGAACTATATACCTTACTAATATATATCCTTAACCAAACTATACAGAAATTACATTTTACAAAATTTGCCGATATCAACATGATTCATACTCTTGGCAGGAGCTTCAATTTGTCTTTATGTTGTTTTCGGCTACTATGACTAGTGACAAGATTAATTATCTCATTAAAGGTGGGGAACGGCTAGAATTATTGTGGATGAAGAAAAAGATGATGGTGAAATGAAATATTATTTTGAACTAGCCCGCATAGGCGTGGAAGGAGCTCGATGGAGACCCTAGTTTACCAATATATACTTCGTAATTTTATCTTAAGCCGGGTTTACCTAGGTGCGGAAGTGGAGCGCGGAATGCGGAGAGCAGTATCCACTTGTCTTAGGCAATTTAATGTTAATGTACACCATATTAATCCCTTTTCCGCTCTCCGTGCCTAGGAAAACTCAGCTTTAGTCATCTTTTTCAGCAGTCCTTGAAGGAACAAAGAATAAATTTAAAATTTGTTATATTTTTCTCAGGTTGCTAAAAGAGAGAATCAGTCAAGTGTTTGACGAATATCAGAAGGGAAGTCTCCAAGATCAACCTGTGATGGAGGCGCTCTTCAGCAACAAGTCTCTGACTTGGGATGACATTGTAATGCTAGTGATGGAAATATTTACTGGGGCAATCGATGCGGTGAGTTTTAGCCTAACTTAAATATTTAAATTCCACCTTTTTTTTATAATAGTTGTTCATTTGATAGCCTATATGAACTTCTATGACAAAGTGAATCAAACCTTTATTGTTGCTTTCAGTTGCCTTGACCTTCTGCCGGTTACATCATCATTAGTGTGTGTAGATGTTTTTCTTGTCGTCTTTGTGATTATTTACTACATGCCTCAATTTTGAGGGACCGACCACACAATCTGACCGTTTTGAACCTAGAAGATCAACACAAGATTTCAACACTGTAAACACTCCTTTAAATATCAATTAAGTTTAGTGTACTGGTGAAATAAGCCTTGTTGCATTTGCTTATTTATTCTGGTATCACGTGGTACACCAAACCTGAAACACATGGAATATGCACTCATTCTTATCAAAATATGCACCTGATCATCAATTATTGCTGTTAACTTTATTCTTGTGTACATTTGAAATAATATTGGTACTTGTGCTTTCTTCTACTATTATGTCATAAAATATGTTATTGTTACAGACTTCAACCACATTAGCCATGACATTGCATTACCTCTCAAAAGACTCAAAACTTCAAGAGCTGGTCCGGAACGATAGTTCTCTTAAGTTGACACGAGCGTGTTTGAAAGAAACCCTCCGAATGTCACCCACTGCGGGCGCCAACAGTAGATACCTGGCCAAGGACGCTGTTATTGGGGGTTATTCTGTTCCAGCGGGAGTTGAGTAAAAACAATAGTAAAAAAAATTTATCTTGTTAAACCTAATTAACTCTCGATTTACAACGTTTTTATCAACAAAATATTTATGTTGAAAATACGAGCTACTTTTTGTCTACAGAAATTACAGGACTTATGTCCCTGGACTTATGTCCACCCTGTATATACGTTTGCTTTGAAACTTTTTCAAAGATACTTTTAAGTAAATTTTTTGTTAAAGCTTCACTCCTAACTCTTTTTCACTTTTTGATAACTCTCATAAAGTTGCTTAGTCAAAAATTGTGTTATCTTAGTTATGAATTTGATATAAATTTGAGGATTTTATTACAATAGCAGGGTCACCTGAACTAGAAAGAATCCATCTAGGCACAAACATTTTACACTGTACGCAACAATTAATTAGATATTCCACTCTAATTACAGCATTTACAACAAAAAGGAAGATATGAATTAATGAATTTATTTCCATTTAGTACAAACTTATTACATGCATTGACAGTTTTTGGAAATTGAATTGGAAGATATTTTCCACAACTTTCTCCTTGGTAGAAAATACTGTAATACTGTACTGGCAGTGAACTATTTTATTTTGTGTTTCTTTTGTTATGGTGTGCTCTTTCCATTCACATAAGCCTGCTGTCCTAACAAAAAACTTAAACCTAAGCCGTTGTGCTCTATGTCAGGGAATGTTATGTTTATAATACATCACCGTTTGTGGTAAATGAGTGTTGATTTTCCAGACACTAGTATCAGCTTTTAACTCTGTGTCTGGTCTTGACCCGGAGTATTTTGAATCCCCATCATCATACCAACCCGAGAGATGGCTGAAAATTGCAAATCAAAGTGACAAAAAGATTCACCCGTTTGCATCTCTACCATTTGGCCATGGACCAAGAACCTGCCCCGGCAGAAGCATAGCAATGACAGAGATGACGATACTTCTCTCAACTGTAAGTAGTACAAAAATATATACATGTATTGGATAGGTCTAAAATATTCCCAAATTATTCGTTTTGAGCCTCAGGGATTTAAAATTTACCCTATCTATTTTAATTATTTACTTTGGATATTTTATGAACAAAAATGATCAAAATAATAACATTAAACTAGTTTTTAGTGGACACACACATTAAGCATAATCAAACAGGACCAAATGCACCTTGAATGGACTCGTTACATTATTTAAGGCGCAACTCATAGAATAAATAAATATGACAAAAATCATAATCAACAAATAAATAAGACATTCACATTTTATGAATGGCTGCCAAATAAGCTATGATGATTCCAATACACTATTAGATCTAATACATATTGGATTACAGAAGCACATCATGTGAGTTTTGGAAGTAATCCAACTTTTAAATTAATAATTTTGATTATTTGTTCAACCTCCTACACACGTTTTTAGACAGTAGATTTATTTACTTTGTATTAAAATTTAGTGTTTATAAAACACTATTATTTTTGTAGGTGCTGAAAAAATACAATCTACAAAGTTGCAATGATGATGCAATTGGTATGATCTACAGAATGAACAGAATACCAGACAAACCAGTGACTGTCAGTTTCTCTCCAGTAAAATGATTATCACACGAATTCTTGTTTTATTCCTTTCGACCAAGTGTTTTGTGTAATTTATTCAGGGTGCAACGATGCTTGATATGGTCTGTGCTCTGGCTAAAACATTACTAGAACTGTTGGTGGAATACAGGAAGTGAATTAAAAATTCATTAAATTCATCAAAACTTTACTGATTTTTACATCAGGGTTAGGGATAACAGTCTTGTACAAAACTGGAAATAACCTTTACGTATTAAAAAGCATTTCATAACACAACAAAAACTAGCTTCAAGAAAGTAACAGAATTTAAGTAGGTAATTTGTAAAATGTGCAATAAATTACACTTTGTACACATTAATTAATGTAAACGTCTACCTTTATCATAAAAAATCAAATATAAAGTTACTTAATATTTAAAAGAATTGTTTTAAAAAATCGTTTCTAACTTTGGAACTAAGCCCTGAGAAGTTGGGGAGTTTCAGACAATTTTGAGATGTACTTAAACATGTATGTCAAAATTTAAAAAAATATATATACTACATGCTTCAAAGCAAGTTATAAAAAAAGGGTTGATGTTAAATCTTATTTTAATTGAAAGAAACAAATGTGAAATAACTTCCAACTTAAAGGTATTAAGAATGTTTAAATACTAGTTGGATGTGGTTGTAGTCAAACAGAACACAATTTATAAAAATACTTAAACTTAATAATAAATTTAAATCATGTTTCTTACTATTTAACTGAGCTCTAAAGCAACTAAATCAAGTTGCATACTAAAACCAAACATACTAAATGAGATCAATAAAGTAATGTATAAAACATAGCACAAACAACATTAGTAAAGAATATTACTCATGTCCGGGAGGAGGTAGGTATTACGTGGATCTTACGGTTAAAGAAATTATTTCTGAGCATCAATTTAGCTACAATAAACATGGAAAATTTAACAAATGACATTAAATGTCATTAATTATGTAAAAAAAGTTGTTCGACAGCAGACTAATATGTTGAATGAATGAAACATTTTTGATACGATAAACAGTCAATTAAATCAGAATAAACTAATATAAAAATAAATATTAATTCATTAACATAATATAAATCTGGATAAATTGTTTGTAATAAGTCATATTGCACTGGTAATAGGTACTTTAAGGTATTGTTAAAAAAGTATTTTATTCAAGTTTTACTTTGATAACGGATGCGTAAAACTAAACATATTTTACAATATTCCAGAATGAGTTGAGTATGCACGCAAAGTACAGAGAATTATACTTTTTATTTTAGTGATACAGACAATAGGCTACTTTTGATATTTTGGTGATGGTGAGATTTGAAAATCCATGAAGATTAATTACTTGAGGGTAAGGGTCAAACTATTTTGAAATGAGCTAAAAATGTACTGGTTAAATAAAACCAAATTGTATACACAATCTTGCGGCAAAGATTGTTATATTTTATGGTTGGTAAAATTTTCTAAGAACAATTTTAATAACTTGTATTGGAGATATTGGCAAATTAATGTAATGTAATACTAAATTTTAACTTTTAAATTTAGTATTACTTTACATAAGAAAAATGTGTTGAACATAATAAAATTATGTAACTTTGATGGTTTAATACCAATTAGAAAATATTTTAGCAATGTTTTTAAGAGATTTTGTTTTAACTGAACCCGGGAAAATAATTTTGTTTGGTTATATCCAACGCCTAATTTAGCTTAAAAAGAGAAAGGAATTATATTCTTGTCTGTTTACTGGCAAGCCTTAGAGGATTACACAACATTCACACACACACTCACATATCAGCCTACCAGTGAGGTTAAGCTGTTGGTGCGCCTATTGTTTTTACAAATACAAAGAGAATCGAACATTAAGTTATTGCTAAAAAAAGTGATCCAGATGCCTGAATAGCTAATTGATAACTGTCACAGAAAATAGTGTATGACTATGGAACACATAGGAATGACATGAAACTTAATCTACACTCTATATAGTGAGAAACCACATAGTTAAAAAACCACATGCTGTAGTATAGTAAAAGTCTAAGTTGTTGTTTAAGGAAGATCATTGAGTGTGTATGTGAAGGTTGTTAAAAGGCTTGCCACTAAACAAAAAGTGTATGCAATATTAAATTAATGTGTTAAGCATATTGGTTATCAAAATATAAAAAAAAATAATGATGCTTCTCTAACATTCTCCTCAGTGGGAATAACTATGGGTAAATATTGCTTTTTTAGGAATAATTTGATTAATTCTTACATATTTCATCACTTTATGGAAGGCCGTTACTATTTAACAAAAACAAGAATCTTTGTATCCCTGGTAGCAGCAAACTTGGATACTCACTGTACAGCAAAAATAAATAACATTAGTTTCAGTGAGGTAATATGTTATTATAATGTTGATATATAAATAACAATTTGTTCAGTTTATATTTGACAATGTAATTAAGAAATGAAGTTTATGACATAGATAACTGATTGAACTTACAGCATTTCAATTTTTACAAGTTACTGTGGTTTTTCTTTTTCTTATTATTGAAATAGAGCATTTTAAACAACTTTTATTTGAGGATATAATGTAACATTTTTTATAACTAATTAATATTTTTAAGAGGTTTCCAAAGATGCAACAATACAAAATTAATGAGCGATACAGATTTAAATGACGAATCCAACAATAAAACTTGTTGAAGTTTGTTGTCGGTCTACCAGTGACAGAGAAAACATACAAAATTAACAATAAACAAATAATATTTCATAAAACTGGATATTAACTTTTCAGTTAATAACAAAAATAGAATGCACAACTACAAACAAAATCTCTATCGCTTAACTACTTACTATATAAAACAACTGTACATCTTATTTAAATCGAGTTTACACAAATATGAAAATTTTCATGTACAAACAAAAAATTAAGTATACTCATTTAGGATGTACAAAACATTAAACAGTTTTTCATCGACTATATACACATCGGTAGTTGGTCCAGTAATCAGTGTCTTTGGTAAAGTGAATATGTGAATGTATGGACTAATACAATCATTGGATCATAGGCTGTTTCGAGTATTGAATGATGAGATGAATGCGTACGATAAGTACATAAATCCTAAATGCAGCAAACTATTAATATGTACAGAATTCTAACAATTATAGAGAGCATTATTATTTACATTTGTTACAAACAGCTGCTTAGGATCATCACTAAATCGTTAACTTTTAATATTAAAGCTATGTATTTTTAAATACATATACACACGGATTTGTTAACTTTATATTCTAAACCCTGAAGTTGATGTGCTTTTGTTAAGTTTGTTTGTTTGTTTTATAGCTCATCAAAATACAAAATATGAAACAAACTGGGCCAATGAAAAAATTAATTTTAAAGGCTCGGCTATTTTATTAAATTGTAAGAAAGAATGAGAAGAAAACGTTGAAGTTGATTTCATGCAATAAATTGGTTCAAGTAAACAAAATTACTACTTAGCCTTCAATTGTTCATACAAAATCTATTACCTTAAAAACGTATTGCAATTTTTTCTGTCACACAAACTTTGATCGTATGGGATACAATTTAAGTTATATCATTAACTAACCTTACAAAACCCAGACATTTCAGATATGTATTACTTATATTACCTTAGCTTTCAACAAATAATTATTTATTAAAATGGAAATACATTAATTGTACACTTTTATGAGAAAGACATGTGCTAACCAGAAGGATTTTATGCAGTAAAACCTGATTTCTGATAACTTTAATTTCCAATAGAAGATTCTTAATGATTGGACAAAATATGTAACCACAATGTGTGATTTGAGACTTTTGGAAAATGTTTGAATTTTATGAGTAGTATTAAAAGTAATTTGGAAGGTAAGTCAAAAGACAAATGTAACATTGCGCTTTCAACTAGGTACAAAAGAAAAATATATGGTAGGAAGACTAATAATTTCTTTTTACACAGATACATTTTTCAAGATACATTTTGTTATAATTAACATACATACATTTTGTATGAAATAATTGAATAATTAAATAATTGTATTTCATAATATAAGTTTAACACAACACCATTTGTGTGCAACAAGTCTTTTTTTTATTTAGAAAGCATGTCACTTTCACATGGGTAGAGCTGTAACACCTTTTGTGTATAGCTCGTGACACGTAAGCTGGCACTTGGGCCTAGCACAGGCGTGTAGTAGGGGTGGGTGGTAGTGAGGAAAAGACCGGACTGCAAACATTTCCGCTGACTCAACAAGTTGACTCCTCGTGTTTCATGTACTTGAGCACCTTCACGAGGGTTGTGAGGACAGTTTACGCAACCCTCACGATGGCACATAATGTTTTTGAGCTAGAGGCTAGTAGGGATCGGTCAAGTGCCAGCTTACAAGTCAAGAGCTAAACAAAAAATCTTTTTTGAGAATTTTAAAGCTTGTAATGAGGTTTTACTGCTTTCAGTGGTAAAGAATGTTTTTAAGAAGTTAAGATCAATATTCATAAATCTAAAGCCAATAAAATAGGTCACAACTTATTGTGAAATACCTTCATAACCAAGAGGATCTGTTCATGGGGTCGTGCATCCCAAGGTACCCTCCTGGAGGGGGGTATCCAGTGGGGGGGAGTAGACCCTGGTGCAGGACCATCGGCCTCAGTAACTCCTCCTTCTGCAGCATCTGCGGATAGTTCATAAAGGGATGCGGGTAGGACAGAGGCCGAGACGGAGCATGACTCAGGTAGGGGAAGGGTGAAGCAGGTGGATGTGGACTAGGGGAAGAACTTTTAGTGTTTGCACTCATGTCCGGATGAGGTGCGAAGAAATTACTGGACCGCATTTCTTCCAGGTACGAAGTGTAACTGTCTTTGAGTGGCGCTGGGCCAAAATTAAAGGCACTTCCTGGTACAACACTAGATGTTTTTAAAGATATTGCTTCGGACGAGGACTGTCCCAAATACTGCTGAAATCCTGCCGGGATACCAGAGGGTGTGGAGGTGTCGCTGCTCTTTCTCTTCTTGCTCGGTTTCTTCACAGCGGGTTTGGCTGCTGGCTCTGACGGCTTAGGTGTAGTGCTGGCCCTGGACACCTGTTGATAGGCGACTTCCAGAGGCCTGTTGTACCCAGCAGTCATCAGATCCACTGGTCTGCCAGGGTACGTCCCTGAGGTAGCTTTGGCTTGGATGAGATCCGACATCGGGTGGTTGTAGCTGACACTGTGAGGGTAGCCAAACCTTGCGAGATCGGACATCGGATGACTGTAATTCACCTTGCCTGCGAGCAAGTCTTGTTGAGAAGGGTAGCTCAGCGGTGAAGGCGGAACACTAAGTTTCCCACTGACTAGGTCCGGAGAGTGATTGTAGCTCAAACCGGGCGCGGATAAGTCTGAAACTGCCCTACTGTAAGGTGAACTCACTTTAGGAGGTAAAGATTCTCGACTTGTAGGATAAGTAATGTGGGAACTTTCTTTGTTTTTAATCGGCTCATTTTGAGATACCTTGGCAAAATCCAAGGGGCTTTCGGTTAGTTTGTTTGAATCTTGTGATCTACTGACATAACTGAGGTTTGGTGGTGTATTTGTTTTGGCAGCAGTAGGATGACTGGAATAATTCAAAGGTGAAGATGACCTAGGTGCATTACAAGACAAATCTGTACTTCGCCCCGAATAATTTATCACAGGAGTTGAGGTCTTTGAGACTGGTAAAGAGTTAGAATACGATGACTGACTATCACTGACTTTGATAGGTCTTGTTTCAGAAAAATTAGGAGGAATTCGAGAATAGCCTCTATCATCTCTAGGATAACTAACATTACTCATTACACTGCTTGAAGTTGGATACATGGGATGTATCGATGTTGTTGAGGGAGGGTTCTTCCCATAAAGGCCATCATTACTGTAGTATGAAGCGGAAAGTAACCTTTCTTCTGCATAAGGGTCCATGAGATGTGGTGATATTCCATGCAATCCTAGAGCTAAAGCAGTTTCTGATGCATAGGCCGGTCTTGTATTAGGTTGAGTGGGTATTCGACCAGGTGTGGGAGTGAAACTCCTGTCGTTCTCAATAGCATTTCTAGTGGGTGTGAAAGACCCACCTCTATAAGATATCTCAGGACTAGAGCGAGCACTTTGTTCTACCTCGTTTATTATCCTCTTTTTAACAGGATACGTTGATGATACAGACTTTTCAGTTGCAATCGGTGTTGACCTGTACTGATCCGTCAAAGGTTTATTAGTGTCGTAATATGACATGTGAGCTGGATAAGGTGACATAGGTGCATCATAAGTGTTGACTGAAGGTGACTGGTAGGGCAGGGAGCTGCCACTGTATAAGGGATAGTCTGACTTGGGACTTGCCATTGGTGTTCTTGGGCTACAACTCGGGATATCCCTGGGTGAACAGCTGGGTGGCTCTCTGGGACTGCAATTGGGTGTGGGAGGTTCTCGGGGACTACTGCTTTTATCAGAGCTTCCCCGGGGAAATGATGTGTCTTGATAAAAACCAACTCTTATGGTTCCATTAAGGGGGGAGTGATGGTAAGGTGTTTTGTTCGGGTCTGCTTGCGGAGATAGGTAATGCTCGTCTAAGCTCGGCCGTGGCGAAGATCCATCAATCATTGGGTCTGTAGGGTCTTGACTGAAAGATGACCTCTCTGAAACACTGCTTCCTGTACTAGCCTTTCTTTGTCTTCTAGCAGGTGACACCAGAGGCGGAGCTACAGTAATTTTCTTATCTTTATCATCATCCACAGATATAACCTCTTCAGTGTCTTTAGGAGTAGCCTTGAACTGATCCAGCTTTTCTTTACTTTCATCATTAATATCAGACTTCTTTTTGGTAGGTGGTTGTGATTTTGGCAGCCCAAACGCTTTAAACCATGCACTCAGATTTGGTGTGGAGGATTTCTCAGCCTTGGTTGAAGTTGGCACAGGAGCTGTTTTCTTTTCAAAGCTGTTGGAAGTAGGAGAAGCATCTTCTTTCAACTTTTTGGTTGACAACCCATCTTCAGGAAGGTTTTCTTCCGCTTCTGGAGAGTTTTTATCATCCTCTTCAAGAACTAAAGGTTTTTCATCCCCAGAATCGTCTTGAGAATCCTCATCCTTTTTCATAACCTCAGTATCGGAATTTTCAAAACTGTGTTTTCCAAATCCGATAACATCACTATTTAAAACTGTCCCTAAACTCAGCTTAGGTGTTATCTGTTCTTCCTTTTCTAGAGTTTCAACATTTTGATCCTTTACCTTCATACCTGTTTGGTTTCCAGAGATGGAAGTTTCTTCATTCTTACTTGCACTGGGATTAGACAACAAATTGCCTTTGCTTTTCCCCGGTTGAAGTCTGTCTATTGTTCTTTGTACTTCACGTCTTCTTTTCAAGGAACCGTGATCCTTGAAAAATCTTCTTCTCGTAAAGTCCTAAAAAAATATTGTAGTAAATGCACAGTCAACAGGAAAGTTTTAATTGTTTCATTAGAAAGGAGATAACTTAATCCTAACAAGTAGGATGTAACAGACAACACTTTTTTACATGATGAATTAGAGCACCCTCCCAAGCTTATGATTACACACAGTTAACAAATTTTGTGTTAGCAGGAAGAATGTCTAATCATACTTACTCAATTATTATGAGTGGATCATTAAATGCAATTGGTTTAGTGTAAAAAAAAATACCAAGCTCTCCCTTAGCAAACATAACCGATTATAAAAGCTCAAATAGGCCCTACTCAGCTTAACCACTTTTGAAATAACTCAAATAAATTCTCATGGTACAAAACATTAATAGTCAGGACCAGGGTCTAAGCTTTAAGTGTCTTAACAAAAGGGATACTGCCGTAAAATTAACCAAATGGATAGTGTTTTATCACTTAAAAATGACTAACTCAATCAGTATATAACCCTCTACAAATCATAACGTAAATTACCAGTTTCTCTTTTGCTCGTATCTTGAGCCTGGCCCGGTAGTCGTGCTCTATGCGGCTGCCGACCCCATCACAATCATCCACCATTGGCAGTTGAGAGGGTGAGTTACTGGCAGATGAGAACTCTGAGAATCTGGGAGTGTCATCTAGCCACTTGTTGATGTCCTGAGAAAACGGTTATAAAGTTAAAAAATTAGTCTAACTTCATTGATTTAAATCTTAAATCTATTCTTTACCAAGCTATCTGTACCGAGTGCACAGCAGTTGATATTTATTGTACTAATCCCCAACAAGGACAATAGAAATGTATCTAATCTACAATATCATGGTAAAACACTAGTTGTAGTGCTCTGTTACTGCTCTGAAGATCAGCTCATGTTATCTGCAATATGACACAGTTTTGTCCCTAAGACCACAATACTTTAGTTAATTTTGAACCTTGGGAAGACTCACCTACTTCTAGTATTGTAGAAATTTAAACCCACTTTCAGGGTGTGCCACTAGCTTAGTGGTTTAAGTCTTGGACTAAGTTGCAAACAGGACAGATTTGATCCACAACAAATCCACAGTAATTTTTATTTGTTTGGACCACTCTCTTTTAAAGGTGTTTGAATTTCATAATTTGAAAATGCTACTGGTGTAAACCAGGGTGTATACTATTTTATTAAAGTGAAATTCCAGGTTTTTTCCTGGTTTTTCAAAGTTTTTCCAGGTTTCCGCGTGTCTGTTTGAATCCACTTAAACTATAATCAATTGAAGACTTGCAGCTTAAGTATACAATATACACATCAAATTTGTTTCAAGTCCAGTGAGCTAGTGTTGAAAAAATAATAATCCTTATTAAGTAATAATTTTCATTGTCATCATTACTTAAGGCCACGGAAACATTGTCTCTCTCGATGGCAGCAAAATCCTGAATATTATCTTCATTTTTTATGAACACATTATCAACGGCGGCAAAATCCTGAATATTTCCTGCGGTCGTGTGGTCGCTTCCCACAGTGACGTTAAAGTAATCACAGTCTTACGTTATCATAGAAAAATCCTGGACATCTCCCGCGGTATGTATACATTATCGCCGTCTCTCGCGATCACGGAAACGTAATCATCGTCATCCGCGATAGCGGCAAAATGACAAAAATGTTCCGAGGCCATGTAGACACCATCATTGACTCCAGCGGTCACGGGAACGTCATCGTTGTCGTCCGCGATCTCGGCAAAATCATTAAAATTTCCCGCGGCAGTGTAAACATCATCGTTGATCCCGCGGTCACGTAATCGTCATCGTCGTCGTCCGCGATCGCGGCAAAATCATGAACATTTGCGGCCGTGTTGACATAATTATCGTCGTCTTTCGCGGTCACGGCAAATCACTAATATCTTCCCCAGCCGTGTAGACATCATCATTGCCTCCCGCAGTCACGGAAACGTCATCGTCGTCGTCCGCGATCTCGGCAAAATCATGAATATTTCATGATTGGAGAGTGGAGAGTCATGGAGAGTGGGGGAAGCCCCTGATGCTACTTGACCTGTTTAATTTGTGCTCCTCAGTTTTTTAGAAATTTAACCCGGAAATTATTTGTTTTATGAGTTGTGTCTAGTATGTAAATATTCAGTTTTAATTTTTGTTCAAAATTCGGAAACCGGTTTTTTACTTTAAATAACCGGTTGTAAATTACAAAAGTTTTTCTTGGATAAATTCAAGTTTCACCAGATATTTGTGCTAAGATTAGTCAAGAGATAAGACGGCAGCGCTGATAAGACGGCAGCGCAGGAGTTGACCTTTGGAGTGGACATGTGGATGAGCTTCTACACAAGTCAGGTTGTTTGTTTACCTATCACCTGAAGTCTGACCCATATAGATAAAACAATCTTGGACTCTGGCTAAACTTCTTATTTCTAAGAGCAAAGAAAACAAAACAATTACATTTTTGTACAGTGAATTGAGCTCCTCAACTTGAAAATCAAATTTATATATTTCTGTATTCACAAAAAAAAAAAAAAAAAAAAAAATTGTATATTATCATGTTATCCAATTCTCAAGCCGATTTAAAAAATAAGAGCCCAAACTTACCTAGAGGTTGGGTAAGAGAAGAAAAGCTGAGGAAAAATGGTTTGAGTAAGGGTAAAACTGATGTTTACATTAAGTCACCAGGTGGTAAACTATTCCGTTCTAAAAAAGAGCTAGATAAATACATTAAGGAGAAAGGGCTCCCACTTAAAATTGAAGATTTTAATTTTACCTCAAGAAAAAACAGTAATGATTTGTCATTTTCTAGTAGCAATGAATCTTTCAGCCATGAACCGTTAAATTCTTCTGTCTCAACAAAAGTATATGAAACCATAAGTACTCAAACAGATCACATACCTGAACCTAAGCTTGTAACATCAATAGAAACACAAACTGATCTCACTTCAGTTAAGAAAATGAAATTCACTGATGAACTCTTGGAAAAACATTGGTTGACTGATTTAACAATACAGTCTTACCTAGAAATAATCAGTGACAGATTTTTGGCCTCTAAGTCATGCATTGTTGTAAATCCCCTTATTGTGCATGCTATTAAAAATCTTGTTGATTTTATATATATATTAGAACCATTAAATGTGAAAACAAGCAATATTGCCAGTAAATGATTCTGAGAGCTTGGATGGAGATAGTGGTACCCATTGGAGCTGCCTGATATATTATAAGATTGAAAATACTTATTACCATCTCGACTCGCTTAATCATCACAATTTACCTTCGGCCAAGAAACTTGTTACCAAACTTTCTAGCTACCTAGGAGGGGAATCATTAACAGCACCTCTCATTCCTGTGAAATGTCCACTACAGCCCAACACCTATGACTGTGGCGTTTTCACGTGCTGGTTCATTGAATCAGTAATACAGGACATAATGGATAATAAACCTGTTGATATTGATTTCTTTCAGAGGGTGTCCCTATCCAACTCAGAGTTGACAAAGATACGTTGTCTTATGGCTTATTTTTTGCTTAACAACCACGGTGTTAGTAATGACACATTTTATTCTGTTATGATTGAAAAGCCAGAAAAATGCACCAGTCCGGCAGTGATTAAGCATTATTCCAAGGAGCAGTCATGGAATTTAGTTACACATAAAAATACGAGACAAGCTCAACACGTACATTTGGACAAAACTAGTAATCCACCAAATAAATGCTCTGATTTACCCCTGAGTAACAGCTTTGATCCATTGAGCGGCCAAAGTGAGGAGGACAAGACTGTTTCCCAAACCGTGAAAGCTACTGACGATACCCGTAAGAACCAAAAACACCACACAAACTGTAAAAAACTTGCAGGAAAACCAAAGATAAGAAGGATTTGTAAGAGAAATGTAAATCTAGTCATTCACTCAGATAGCCAAGGTAGAAACTTGGCAAAACAAATTAACCTAATGAGTGAAGGGAAAATTAACTGCTTGGGAATTGTGAAACCTAATGCAAGACTAGTATCCATTCTTGACGGTGCTAACAACAAAGAAAAAACTCCAATTTTAGTTATCGGGGGTACAAATGATTCACTTCAATGCAGTGCAAAGGAGCTTTACAAGACTATAGAAGATAAATTGAAGATACTGTCATATAAAGAACACATATTTTTGGCTACCATACCACCAAGATTTGATATACCTAGAAATAGTCCAGTCCATGATGAATTAATTACCCTAAACAGCTACATTAACGAATTAAGCTCCCGCATCCCCAATGTAAAAATCATTAACTTAAACCCTTTAAAAAAACACAACTTTACACGACACGGGCTTCATTTCAACTACAAAGGGAAGAAGACTATTTCAGAAGCAGTGGTTGAACGGTATGAACAAGCAGTGTTTGGAAGAATGGGGACTGTGGAAGGTAAGGCACCAGTGCTCAACTCTTTATCACTTATTCCACCACTCGCTACCAAAGATAAAGCAAGTAAAATAAACGAATCTGATTCACTCTCGACTACCAGGCCTGGCTGTTCACTGGAAGCATCCTTACTGGAACAAGGTGATACGGGCCAGCTCTCACAAGTACCAACGGACGTCTCTCAAGCCAAAGAAGAAACTAACAAAGATCAATGCACAGCTGGGAAAAATCAAAAACTTGACGCCATTAAGACTATAAAGGAGAAGGAAGGAATAAAAATAGTTGAAGAAGATATGTCTGACGTTATCAGCCGCTTGAAGAACAACAGCTCAGTTGCTTTTGCGCACTGTATATCTAGTGATTTTCACGAAGAAAGAAACATGAGCGCAGGCGTGGCTGTAACTTTTAAGAAGATTTTTGGAAGACCACAGACCTCTGACATTCTCAACAAATACCTATCGTTCCAGCAAACCGATAACGGAGCAGGCATTTACGGGCTTATGACAAAATCAAAATTCTCCGCTAAACCCTCTTTAGAAGATTATAATTTGTGCTTTTCACACCTTATTAGCAACGTCAATACAAGAAACTTTAAAATCTTGGTATGCTCTCCGATGGGCTGTGTGAGGGACCGTATCTCCATTGAGAACTTTGCTAAGAACATAGTGCAACTTCATATAAAGACAGGGGCAGCAGTATGTGTAGTTGCAAAGCCAGAAAACTCATCCAGACAACTTTATAATGGACTTGACTTTCCTAAATTCATAAATGAACTTCGTCATGAAATTCATGTGGTCGAGAGTATGGCGAGGGAGTCTGCACTGAAATCTTCCCAACAGGGTCCATGTGAAAGTGATGGAGTCAAGTCAGTTGTAGAGCACAGCCAAGCAGAGTCAACACGATCTCCTAAGTGTCCAGCAGTGTGTGAAACGGGGGGTTATAAAGTCAATAAGGGGAATAGTGCAGTGAATGTTAGCCGGCCTCAACAAGATAGCATTAGTGATGGTTTTGTAATTCCATTTAGAAATGATAGTTGTGTAGGAAATGCAAATGATAAATTTCTAGGTTTCTCTACACCTGTTAGAACTAATTTAAAACATATCAATAGTTTTTTGGAGTCAACTCAACCTCCAGCGACAGACACATGAACAGTTGCTCTGATGACACCTCTAAGTCTTTGGGAAACAGATCATTTGCAATATTTCATTGTAACATCCAGGGCATCATCCAAAACAATAAAATTGATGAAATTAATTTATACCTCAATAGTTTCAACAGAAAACCGGATGTAGTTTGCTTTTCGGAACACTGGGTCCCATCTAATTGTAAAATTCCACTATTTCAATTTGATGGATATCAAAACGCTGCATCTTACTGCAGGGAAAATCAGAAAAGAGGGGGAGTATCCATTCTTGTAAATGATCATTTTAAAATTAAACATAGGCCTGATTTTGAAGAATTAACGATTGAGTCAAGTTTTGAATGTTGTGGGGTCCAAATAGTTAAACCCATAGATCTTATTGTACTGTGTGTCTACAGACCAACTGTTTATACCAAAGCTGCTTTTGATGTGTTTTTTGAACGTCTCCATTTCCTTTTAAGCTATTGTATAGATAAGACCCCTAAGGCGCATGTTTTACTTGCAGGAGATTTCAATATCAATGTTTTAAATTCTGACTTCTATACCAAAGAATTCTTATCAATTTTAAGTTCCTTTAATTTTTTTGCACATTTCAATGTTCCAACTCGAATTACTAATGTTTCTAGTTCCTGTCTTGACAATATTATCACTAATTTCTGTCCTAACTTGTGTAAAGCAATAGTTTTAGAAAATGGTTTATCTGACCACTTAACACAGTGTTTATGTTTAGATTATAGTTATTTTGAAAATAGACAACTGGAAACAAAGATAAAAATCAGTCCATCCTTAAAAAGAAATTATAGTAAAAAAAATTTGGATAGTTTTGTTAACGTTTTGAAGTATGAACAATGGACTGAATTTTTTAGCAAATCTGAAGTAATGACTGATGTTAATGTACTTTATAAGTGTTTTCTTCAAACTTTTAAACTGCATTTTAATTCTTGTTTTCCTTTAGTAAATAAGAAATGTTATAGTAAACATTTTGATAAAGGGTGGTTAACAACTGGAATTAGAGTCTCATGCAAAAGGAAAAGGGAATTACATGAACTTAGTAAAATGTCAAATGATACAACTTTTAAAGATTATGTAAAAGAATACAAGAAATTATTAAATAAATGTATAAAATCAGCTAAGATATTGTACAACAGAAATCAGATTAAAGAATCCTGTAACAAAACCAAAACAGCCTGGCATATTGTTAAAAAAGAGACTAATACAACTGACAACAGCAAAAAAGGATACCCCTTCTTGTTGCATTCAATGTCTGAAAGGACGCAACTAAATCAAATTAATGCATTTTTTTCTGACACATGTAAAAGCTTGAATGTTGGTTCAGATTCTTACAAAGCTCTTGGCTTCCTACACAGTAGAATCCCTCCCGAGTCCAAACTTATATCATTTAAGCCAGTGAACCTTCAAGAAGTCCAAGATATAATAAAAGACTTAAAGTCATCTAAAGCCTCTGGATGGGATGAAATTTCAACTTCATTAATGAAATCAAGTTCAGAGTTTATTGCTCAACCCATTGTTCATTTGATAAACATTTCTTTGTATACTGGTGTTTTCCCTGACCTATTAAAACTATCAAACATAATACCAGTCTTTAAAAAGGGTGACCCAAAAGATATATCCAACTACAGACCTATTTCTTTATTGCCTAGTTTCTCAAAAATATTTGAGAAAGTCGTCTTCAATAGATTGTGTGATCATTTTGAAACATCCCAAATTTTGGATACATGTCAGTTTGGATTCCGGAAGGGACGGAGTACGACATATCCAATCTTTAGCTTTATTACCGAAGTCACAGGTGCTCTTGACAGATCGCAGGCAGTAGCTGGTCTCTACTGTGATCTGTCAAAAGCATTTGACTGTGTAAACCATAGCCTATTAATACAAAAACTAAACTTTTATGGTGTGTCAGGCATGGCTATAAAGTGGATAACCTCGTTTTTATCAATGCGGAAACAGTGTGTGGACCTACGGTTAATAAATCTGAAATCTGATTTCAAATTAGTCACAGAGGGTGTGCCACAAGGCTCAATACTAGGTCCACTACTGTTTTTGGTTTATATTAATGACCTACCTTTGATTTTAAAGTCAAAATCAGTAATGTTTGCTGATGACATTTCCATTATTTTCACTGATCATAGTAAAATTTTCATGCAACAAACAGCTGAACAAGATTTCCTTCAGCTAGAAAAATGGTTTGAAGCAAATGGTTTGGCGTTAAATAAAGATAAATCTCTTCTGATGGAATTCCAAAAAAACTACCAGAAATCAGACTCATTAACAAAATTAGATTTGAATCTTTCTCTAAATTCAGTAAGCTCAGTTAAATTCTTAGGCATCACAGTGGATCAAAAATTGACTTGGCAAAATCATATTGGTGAAGTTGTAAAAAAATTAAATAAAGCTCATTTTATGTTCATTATTTTATCTAAATCTGTTGACATATCCACTCTCACGATGGTTTATTACGGTTATGTCTATCACTTGTTTAATTATGGTGTGATCTTCTGGGGAAATTCAGATAGGAGAAAAAAAGTTTTTAAAATGCAGAAGAGAATTATCCGTATTATTTTTGGACTTAAAGGAAAAAAATCCTGTAAGAGTATTTTTAAAAATCACAAAATTCTTACTTTTCCTAGTATATACATATATAACTTAATTTTGTATATAAGACAAAATTTATCAAATTTTCCAAATAACTCTGATTTTCACAACTATAACACAAGACAAAAGAATAGCCTTACATACCCTAGACATAACACCTCCACCATTGAACATTCTCCATATTACTCTGGCATAAAATTGTATAATAGCCTGCCTAGCACCATAAAGGGTTTGACAGATTTTAAAAGATTTAAAACCAGTTTGTTCAAATTGTTGTCAGATAAATGCTGCTACAAGATTGGGGACTTTTTCAATTAGATATTAGTATGTCAAATCAATAGTTAGTTGTAATGGTTGAACAGTAAGTAGTTGTAGGGGAGAAAGTGTATACATATAGATTATAGCTCTTAATTAATTAGTGTAGTAAATTTGCCAAATGTATAGTTATGTTTATTCTTGACTTGACACAATTCATGTATAGAAATGTACTGTTTGAATAAAGGATTTTTTGATTTGATTTGATTTGATTTGATTTCCCGCGGTCGTGTCTACATCATCGTCGTCTCTCGCGGTCACGGAAACATCATCGTCGTCGTCCACGATCTCGGCAAAATAATGAATATTTCCCGCGACAGTGTAAACATCATCGTTGATCTCGCGGTCACGGACACGTCATCGTCGTTTCCCGCGGTCACGGAAACGTCATCGTCGTTTCCCGCGGTCACGGAAACGTCATCGTCGTTTCCCGCGGTCACGGAAACGTCATCGTCGTTGGCCGCAATCACGGCAAAATCATGAGCATATCACGCGGCCGTGTAGAAATCATCATCGTCGTCTTTCGCGGTCACGGCAAATCACGAAAATCTTCCGCGGCCGTGTGGACATCATCATTGCCTCTCGCAGTTATGGAAACGTCAGCGCCGTCGTCCGCGATCTCGGCAAAATCATGAATATTTCCTGCGGCAGTGTATACATCATCGTTGATCTCACGGTCACGTAAACGTCTTCGTCGTCTCCCGCGGTCACGGAAACGTCATCGTCGTCGGCCGCAATCGCGGCAAAATCATGAGCATTTCACGCGGCCGTGTAGAAATCATCATCTTCATCTTTCGCGGCCACGGCAAATCATGAAAATCTTCCGCGGCCGTGTAGACATCATTATTGACTCCAGCGGTTAGGGAAACGTAATCGTCGAAGTACTCGATCGCGGCAAAATCATGAATATTTACCGCAGCCATGTAAACATCATCGTCGTCTCCAGTGGTCACGGAAACGTCATCGTCGTCTCCAGTGGTCACGGAAACGTCATCGTCCGCGATCTCGGTAAAATCATGATATTTCCCGCGGCTGTGTCTACATCATCGTCACGGAAACGTCATCGTCATCTCCCGCGGTCACGGAAACGTCATCGTTGTCGTCCGCAATCGCGGCAAATCATGAACATTTCCCGCGGACGTGTAGATGTCATTGTCGTATCCTGCGGTCACGGAAACGTCATCGTCGTCTCCCGCGGTCACAAAAACGTCATCGTCGTCGCCCGCAATCGCGGCAAGACGCATTTTTCGACTACAATCTTCTACCGGGGGCTAAAATAAAAATCCCGGAATCGGTCCAAAAATCCCGGCTTTTCCCCGGTTTTTTCCAGGTCCCTTCAAATTCAAGGTTATTTCCCGGTTCTCCCGGTTTTCCCGGTTGGTATACACCCTGTAAACCCTCACAAAAAACCCACCCACCGTAAAAATTAAAGGTGTACCTTTAACGTTTGTTCGGTGGCCAACTCAAGTGCCTCGATGTCTGTGACGTTCTTGATCCCCGTTGGTTTCTTCCCAGGTCTCTTGGTCTCCTGTGTCTTCTTGGTCGCCTTGCTTCGACTCTGGCTACGACTGCTCTGACTCTCTGAGTCTTTTTGACTTGCTTCCTCCTCTTCTTCTTCTGCCTCCACCTCTGACTCCTCTTTGACCGGAACCTCCTCTGGCAGTTCGTTGTCACTCTCTTCACTCCTGAAGAATAAAACAAGTATTAGTAATTTTTTCAATACCATGTTGTAAACACATTTTTCTTCCTCCACACATTCGCTGCTGTGTAATAGCCAGCAGCGACTTGGAGCAAAAACAGCCAATAGGCTGTGAGACTGAGTGCAATAAATAGTTTTCAATTCTGTTTCATCCAAAAGAGCCACAGCAAGCACGTATTGCACGTCATGTTTTCTAGACAGTTTTAAAAGAAGTAGAATGCCTTTATTTCAACAGGCAATCATAAATAAACTGGATCAGATAAGATCAAAGTTTTTGCAAATCACAGCCGAAGCATGAAAATGCCTCTAGGCTCTATCTCGGAGAATCATCATTTCCAGTGGAACCATTTTTCGTTCATTTCAAATCCCAAAAAATAAACAAGACTAAAAACCAACAATTTTAATTTTTATAATTTGCTTAAAACACAAATCTACTGCATCTACCCTAAGATGTAATTGATTTTTTTTTTATCACAGCTAAAAGATGAGAATGCCTCTATGATCTATGGAGGATAATCATTTCCAGTCAGACAGTTTTTATATTACTTAAAAGTTCCCAACTTAAAAACAAGACAAACTACTCGCTATTTCATTTTTTTATGATTGTACATAGGTACCTATTTATTTCTTATCAACTGGATCAGATAAGATCAAAGTTTTTTGCAAATCACAGCCGAAGCATGAAAATGCCTCTAGGCTCTTATCTCGGAGGATCATCATTTCCAGTAAAACTATTTTTTGTTAATTTCAAATCCCAATAAATAAACAAGACTAAAAACCAACAATTTTAATTTTTATAATTTGCTTAAAACACAAATCTACTGCATCTACCCTAAGATGTAATTGATTTTTTTTTTTATCACAGCTAAAAGATGAGAATGCCTCTATGATCTATGCAGGATAATCATTTCCAGTCAGACAGTTTTTATATTACTTAAAAGTTCCCAACTTAAAAACAAGACAAACTACTCGCTATTTCATTTTTTTATGATTGTACATAGGTACCTATTTATTTCTTATCAACTGGATCAGATAAGATCAAAGTTTTTTTGCAAATCACAGCCGAAGCATGAAAATGCCTCTAGGCTCTATCTCGGAGAATCATCATTTCCAGTGAAACCATTTTTCGTTAATTTCAAATCCCAAAAAATGAACAAGAATAAAAACCAACAATTTTGATTTTTATAACTTTCTTAAAACACAAATCAACTGCATTTACCCTAAGATGCAATAGATTTTTTTAAATCACAGCTAAAAGATGAGAATGCCTCTATGATCTCTAACATGCAGGATAATCATTTCCAGTCAAGACAGTTTTTATACTACTTAAAAGTTCCCAACTTAAACACAAGACAAACGACTCACTATTTCATTTATTTATGATTGTACATACCTATTTGTTTTCTTATCAACTGGATCAGATAAGATCAAAGTTTTTTGAAAATCAAAGCCGAAGCATGAAAATGCCTCTAGGCTCTTATCTCGGAGGATCATCATTTCCAGTAAAACTATTTTCTGGCAACTCAAAAGTTCCTAACATAAACGAACAAGGCCTTTACTATTTAATTGTGTAAAAAAATGGAACTACATATTTAGAAAACACTCGAGAATCATAACAATAAAAACATCGTCTGTGACAGTTGTGTGTTTTGTGGCACTGTATGTTTAATATTAGCCTCAAAAACTAGGACTACCTTAAATAAGAAATAAGAAGTAAATTAGATAAAAATGAACAATTGGTGTTATTAGTTTACCTGTGACTTGGTGGGGGAGAATGTTTAGAAGCCTGTGAAGATTTCCTTCTTCTGCCCTTTTGTTCACCGGGAAATTCAACTGCAACTTCTTCGTCAGTAGAAATTTCAGTTTCTAAATATCGATCAACTGCAGCATCAAATGCTTCTAGCAGTTTCCCAACCATTTCTGTGTACTCTGTAGAAAACCCTCTGTTTTAGTTTCAAAATAGCTAATTCTGATTTGGGATTAAAACATTTTCCTTGGTATTTTGTGGAGTAGTGGATACAATTAAATTTAAAAAGGTTAGCAAATTGAAATAAAAATATGTTTAGACGTTGAATGTTTTGGTTTATGTGTGGAATGAAGTCTACCATCTTAGTGTCATTCATGATGTTAGCTTCCGAATCACTTAAGTTAGTTAATAAATGGTATAAATACCATACCTGTCAGGTGATCTTTGGAGTATTAATACACTACTGCAGTTCCAGCCCTCATGGGGCTTTCTTCAGGTGCCAAAGGAAGTCAAAAATTTTCATTCACACAAATTTGTCGCATTGAAACTACGAGAACACAATACGGACATGAAATGAACATAAAAACGAATACACCTGTCAGAGTCACAAACAATTTTTATCGGTGCCGGCATTGATGTGCGACATGTGCGAGGAGCTAGTCTAGACTCAGTTTGAGACTCAAGAGGAGTCTAGACTAGCTCCTCGCATGTAGCTATTAAAAATGTTATTTTAAGTTCACACACATCAGTTCCGGCATATCATCGTTCAGTCATGTCAGTTAAAAAATTTATTATTGCCCTCATTAAACAGGCTTATGGGGACAGTGGACTGAGGAATTGCGGTAGCAACTGAGACTGAACTGTGACTGGACTAATGTGTGTGAATCAACCATGAACTTATTTATCCTTTTAACTCCTTTCAACACAAAGGCAGAGTTGTATTGGATTTCACAATGTCATAAAGTTTTACCTGTTGTCTACTGTTATATAATGGGGCTGCAGTAGGACTAGCAGACAACAGCCAAAAACACTTGCAACCGGTGATTCAGATAATGGGTATGATGTCTACCCTAGCATTTAAAAGTAAATGATTACATAAACAAATCTCTAAAATAGTTAAACTAACTTTCATTAAAGTAATCCTTGGTGATTGTAGTGACAACTAGTTGCAGTTCAAAGATGAACAATCTTCATGCCTACATGGACTCAACATCAATCACAACATTTAATTAATTGTTCAAGGAAAGGCTCTAGACCAAGATTTTGAATTGTAGAAAAAAGAGAATAGCAGCTACCTTATCTTGGATAAGAAAAGATGAACCATAGAACATACATGGCCTACCTGTACTTCTCCAAGGTAAGCTAGCTGCTAACCTCTTTATTCTGCGATTCAAAATCACAATATTTAGTGGTGAATAAAGTTTGCTAAAGCTTGCAGGCTCAAAGATGGTTGGAACCGAAACAAGTTGTCACTGCAGCAGGATTGCTAATCTAAAGTCCACATAACTCTTAGCAAATTAAATCAAATCACCGTTCTCGCTCCCGTTGTACTGCCGGCAGTTATCCACAATCAGTTGGAAGTCAGCCTTGAACTCGCCGAACGTACTGTACTCGCCAGCGTCCAGTTTATCCTCCATCCTCTGCAAATCCATAGGCTTGGCGATGACTGAGTAGTAACGAGGGGCGTACTCCTCCTCCACAGGGTCCAGGAATGGCCAAGCGTCCTCGTGGTTCTTCAGCCGATCCAGGATCTTGTACAGTCCCGTCTGCAGATCCTCCACACTTTGTCGGAACCTGTAACAATCCACCATCTATAATCGCACACACAGTGGGTGCTTCCAGGTTTTTTGTTAATTCACGGGAAAAGTTAACTACAGGAGTAAATAAGTAGTCTACGGTAGAGGATGTTAGTTGAGGACAGTTAATTCAACCTGTATCGTAATACAGGTACTGGTCAAATTCTTTAGTATTGCTGCAAATAAATGAAATAAGCTACAAGTTATGCAAGCTATACATTCTGTCACACGATTGCAGTTTACCAAATGAAAAATACTCTTAGAGGTCACACAAAATCAACCCCTTGCAATTAACCTGACAAAGATAACACAAAAAGAGTTATGTTTTTACCATAATTTTTAACTCCTATAGAAAAAGTAATAGGTAGAAAAACAACACTTTGTGAATTAAACAAAAGGTTCAACATTGTAGTGTAGTGCTCAAAACAATCTTTTACTAAAATAACAAACACAAAAACCTAACGGCATTTTATTGGACTTGTGTGTTAAACAAAAAAAAAACACTGAGTTTGTTTGTGTATATTTACTTGTATACTGTATTTTTTATAGTTTAATACTTAGCAGCATGTACAGGGTGTTTATAAAAGAATGCCGGGATTTCAAATAGTAATTGCTTGGATACTATTCAATGTAACTAAACGTTTTATTGTTTTATTCGTCAAATTGAACCTAGCTAAAACAAGAGCTCTTGTAGCAAGAGCTAAAACAAAGAGCTAAATTGTGACCACTATTGTGACTAAATTGTGGCCGCTATTGTGACTCACGCGCCAGACGCCGGTCGCCAGTGCAATGTTTACAGCGCAACAGAAGGCACAGAGTGTAATCTGTGTTTCAGCTAAATTAAACTAAATTTAAATCTTCTTGATGATAAAGAAATTTGACGCTGGTTTAATGAGATGAGTTTTGTGGCACCGTAGTATTTTGAAAAGACATTCACCTGGCCGGCTAAAAACAAGAGATGACATAGTCAAAGAAATCTGACAATTCAGCTTTAGATGGCCCAAAAAATTGATTTCCCGACGAAGTCGTCAGTTGAATTTACCTAAATCAACACCTTAGAGTCTTTGTGCCTTAAAAGATTCGATTAAGACATCAGATAAACCCGCCAATCGCCCTAAGCGTACATACTTAGCCAGTTTTACGCTCATATAAGATTTATGAAAATCTGAATTTTATTCTGAATTGTATCAAAGTATGAGAAACACCGCTCTTTTTCCCTTCAATTTGACGTCTAAATCATTTAATTATCTTGAATATTCCTCGAGCAACGACCGTTTAAAATCCCGGCATTCTTTTATAAACACCCTGTATTTAAAATAAAATTGTTAAAATAGGTTAATATACATTTATATTGTAATAATGTATAAAACACAAAATGTTTAGTTTTATAAGTAGACATCAATAGTTTACATGACACAAGTAGAGAACCAAAAACATAAAATTTGGGGGTTTTTTACACAATTGAACACTATCAGGACAAAATTATTAAACATTTAATTTCCAAAAAGTTAATTTATTATAATTATTACAAACAAGCTTGACTAGTATAGTACAGCAAAAATCCTAAACTAAAGAAATTCTTTGAGCTAAACACCAGTATAGGCTACATATCTTCTACATACAAGTTTAAATTGTTCTAAATGTGCTTTAGTGATATAATTTTAATTTTAACAATTACTGGATTTCTTTTGAAAATTGAATGTCAACATAGTTTGAGGTAAAAGAAATTCTAGCTGCATTTGTTGAGTTTAAACACTAAATAATGTTTAAATTCTAAATCTAATAACAAATCTAAAGAAATGTTAATTATAAAAGAGAGTACACAAAAACATTAACTAACTTAGGTAGTAATTTCATCACAAATACTATCACACTGCAATTGTATACAACCATAAGCTTTCCTTTAGAAAGCACTAAAGGTACAAAATCAAAACCTATCATAAGAAAAACAACTACTGTTTACTAAATGCAAAACAAACTTAAAAACTACAATATTATGTAACCTGTGGATTTCATCAATAATGACACTTTTTTTACAAAAACTCTTTTTTCTGTCATTATAAGTTAAATCTGAAGATCATGCATCAGAGGGAAACATCAGTGTTGTGCAACAGTCTGTATCAACAATGTATTTTTAAACACTTGGACTCAATCAATACCTTTGAAACCTAGTTAGAAAAATAACACTTTTTGATGCTAAAGAGCAACAAACAAAAAATAATAAAAATAATAAAAAATCTATTAAATCTCCAACTTATCAGCCAAGTTGGGCTATATCAGGCATGGGCTATGTCAAAATTTTTAAACCGGATTGATTTTTGTTTTTAAATTGTAAGAATTATTTTATTTTATTTTGAGGGGTATCTTTAATTTTTTAATTTTTAATTTGCTTTAACTTAACAAGTGTTTAGAACTTATATTCTGATGGTTATATGTTGGCCAGGACTAAGATATTTTATTTTATTTTTAATTTTAATGAATAAGTTATATTATTGTTAACTAGAAAAGTTGTTTTATGTAAGTGTATATATTTTTTAAGAGTGACCAGCGAGTGCCATGGACTCTTCCTCACACACAGACGTGTAGTCTTGTGAGGAATATTTTTTCCTTTATATAAAATATGTCACTTTTTATTTATTGTACTTTATTGGAAATAAAGAATCTTGAATCTTGAATCTTGAAAACACAAAACATTTAACTGGGAGAAACTAGAGGTGTGCAAGGGGCTCGATTTTCGAGTGTAGCCCAGCCTAGCCTATAAGCTAGAGATAGAGCACCAAGTCAAAAAATGATCATGGTTCAAGCTTTTACGATCGCAATCGCAGAAAAGTTAAAATATTTCCTTTTTTGAAGCGATTGCGGATGACAACAATAATATTTTTCAGATGGCGGGAGAGGATCAAGATGTTTCTGTTACTGCAAGAGATATTCAGGATTTAGATGATGTTTCCGTGACTGTGGGAGTTATTCAGGATGTTGCCGCAATCACGGAAGTTGATAATGATGGCCACACACACCAGAGACTATTACGATAATATAATGTGAAAAACGTCGACATTGTGAAAAAACGATATTAAGGTCGATGACACGCATCAGTTACATCACGTCACAGGTCATTCAAATCAGTCAAGTCACAGTAAAAAAACTATTCTTTAATGGATTTTTTTACTGTGCTATCTACTCATCCGGCACAGGTCTGTCAGTCACTCTGCCAGCGTCCGTCAATCAATTTCAGATTTCTTCCCACCAATATTTTTGGATTGTTCGGACGCCTGACGGACAAGTATTTGTTTAAGGTTAATTTTTTATTTGATTTTAATGATTGTGTTTATATTTTAAGTAGGTACTTAATCAACAACACACAATACACAATACTGTTTATATTTTGTAACAATCAACATGATAGACGATAGAAAATTGATAGAACAAATTGAAAATTCTTGACTGTAACGGCATTGTAAATAAAGTGACTGAAGACTGACTGAAACCAAATGACAGACAGTTGACTGAGGAATCGTGGATGCAACTAAGACAGAACTGTGACTGGACTGATGTGTGTAAACCAACCTTTACACTTAATTCATTTCCATTGAGGACAAATCATTTTGCTGTCAAGTCCAACCCCAAGCTGAATCCAGTATTTAAATTTTGATCTACAAAAATCTCAAACTTAAAAAAATAAACTAGGCCTAATTAATATAGGTACATTTAATCACAATTTTTAAACATGGTTAAGCCTGATTTACACAGAAGTCTGGCTGGTTTAACTGTATAAAGTCTCTTCTACAACTAAACTTTATTCTAAATAAAAGTATACACAGCCCTAAAACATTTAATTTAAATATTTTTTATTGAATGACATTACTGGGATGTTATAAATAAGCCCTTAAAGTCAGTTTTCTATCAGCTGTTGTTGATCTAAACCATCACACGAATAAACACTGAAAAGACAAGAGTAAACATAATACATCATATAAACTACTGTATAAAGTATACCTTTTTTTGTTTGAATTTAGTTGTGAAAATGTACTATATTTTTTAAGTTGTCTAAAATGCAACTTTTGACTGAAACACGAGAACTTAAATTTGGGGTGCCATTTAATAATTGTTTGGAACTAAAGAAAACATTTTGAGAAGAGTTCCCAGAAAGTAAATAAAAGAAACGTCTTATAACACTTAAAACATACCCTTATATTGTTACTCACAAGAAGGTAAATATACAAATACCCCCGCCGCAGCAAACCTGCAGACTAAGCAAATTTCAACTTGTCTGATTACATTTTTACTAAAATATTTCCATAAATAAGACATATTTTTTCCCAACTTAAATATCATTAGTTTTAACCAGTGCTTAGGTTTGCTGCTACGGGGAAGGTAGAAAGAGTTTTTTGACCATATGTCAATAGTATAGAATGAAATAAATAAATTTGCCAAATTTTATCACATATATCCATAAACAAGTAAACTACAACAGTTTTCATTTTTTCCATAAGAATAACATGGGAATTTTAAAGTACACTTTTTTTGAATTTTCTCCGTGAGCGTTAGGCATAAAACAGCGCTTCAATATACTAAATTATTTCTTTTTTTAAGCTCTACAAAATAGTTGAGAAAGAATTTGCAAAAATTTTTATTTTTAGGGTTAAAAATGGGAAAACCCCATTTTTACCCCATAGAACACCCCATAAACCCCTGTTCCCATGGTCCGATTATGCTGGTTTGCGAACTCGTTCGAATAAACGTAGGTTTACACGTTTGTACCAAATTTCATCAAAATCGGATCATATTTGCTCGAGTTATCGTGCTAACGGACACATATATAAATATAAATGAATTTGAACGGATGGTGTTTTTGGCCTCTGGGGACCTCAAAACGAAAAAGTAAATCGGTCCTGGGTATAGGTCTTACCATGAGACCTACGGTAATAGCTACTTCCCTATATGGGAAATTCGCTAAAAGATGGTAAGTGGTGATCGATTTTGATTGGACACTCCAATCATCATCAGACCCAATTGGCGAATCACTTACCATCTTTTTTTGTATATTTACCGTCTTGTGAGTAACAGTATAAGCGTAAATATATGTTTTAAGTTTTATAAGACGTTTCTTTTATTTACTTTCCGTAAATTTAATAAAGTGTACAATGCTGATCAAGAAACTATTTAGAAGAGTTCCAGCCAGTTGAAAGTCACAAAAAGTCCTTAACACCTAATTTTATACCGTACTTCGTCCCTTCAAGATATTTCTTCACATCTTAATACAGTAATTAAGTAGAAACCCTTCCTTTACACCAAAATAGTGCAAGGAGGTGCAAAATATCAAAGTAATTTTTGTATGTAAACATCTTGTGAGCTATCAACTGCCAGGATCATTTTAAGGTTGAGTTACTTGTGTCTCAACTCCTTCATTAAAATATTCGATTACCAATTTCTCACAAAAGTTAGTAAGCCCAGTTAGTAAAATAATAGTTTAGAGCAGCTTTATCCTTAAAGTTCATTATGTGTTAAAAACATTGGTTCACAAACTTAACGTTGATTTTAGTCAAGTAAAAAGAATTGATGTCAACTTACTTATTGAAACTATGTCTCGTTTGTATATCAAAGGAATGCTGTGGGTAATTCTTGACCAAATTTAAATTGAAATACACATTCACGTTTCATATCGATACTAACACATGTAATTTTTCAAATAATTCTAGTAATTTGCTGTGTGTTAATCTCCAACCATGAATGAAAAAAGGTGGGATTGGTATCAAATCACACTTTCTCTTATTGTTGTTAAAATACTCACACTTGGGATGTACGGAGTTTCTGCCGGGAAGGTTGTATGATGATCTGGCCTGTGGCAGAGGCGAGAGAGTTGTTGGTCTGACGGCCGCGGGGTTTACTAGCGTTGTCTGTCTGACTGCTAGAGCTGCACTCAGAGTTCGTGTGTGAACGCGACCGCAACATCGCGCGGTGCTCTCTCGCCCGTCTGGCGTCCCTGTGAAAAAAAACCCTCATCACTTGTTTAATTGAAGCTAATTTTTGATGCTAAATTTATGTTTGTTTGAGGAAATAATAATGACATTTTTTGTTAGATTAGTAAAAACAAGTTTCCACAACAATGTCATCATTGCAGATGTGTGTCCATTGTTTTCCCCTGTCCCCTACTTTTTTACTAATTGTTATTATTTTCAGAATATGTTGTTTCTTTTTTTACTACTATACAGTTCTCTGTGTGATTATTCAGCCTTGGCTGAAGTTTTTGTTCCATTCTTGTCACGTTTTAGCTTTGACTATAATAGTCAATGGTTTTAGGTACTTTCTTACCTGCATCAGGCGCCAGCCAAAAACATGGACATGACATCATGAAAAATTGTTTTTTACTAGTCTTGATTGAAAAGTTTCACAATAACACATACAATATTTAGGTGATAGTAAAAATAGAATGGTAAAATTCTAGGTTAATACAAGTAAAAAATGTTAAATAAGAAGTCTTAAGAAACAGTCTGAAAGCAGAGTAAGTACAAGTTCCCTTGGATGAAAATCAAATTTCTGTCTTTTGCCATAAAGAATAATATGTAATAAAGCGTTGTTTATTCATGACTATACTAATTCCGGGCTAATTCACTGAATTTCAGAAACCATACTAGTTGATATATGAGTCAACTTATTCTGGTAACCTAGGAAATTGTGGTAATCCATGCCAAATATAGACTGTATACTTGCAATATTAGTGTTGCTTATCTTGCGGATAGAATTTCAGTTTTCAGTAAGAGCGGGATGTCTTGGATCGCAATCTTTGCAAAAAGATACAAAAAGCATAGACTTGTTTTCTTAAAAAGCGTTTTTTGTGCTCTCCAAACAAAACTAAACTGATTCATGGTAAAAAAATTACTAAAGGTTAAACAAGTCAAAAGTTACTTTGATGTATGACTGAAGAACCATTTGTTTTGGATGAATTTAAACATAAACAATGATGCAATGATTCATGAAAATGAGTTAAAATATAATTAATTGTATGCTATGCAGAACTCACCTATCTCTTCTTTCTCTTTCTTTGATTTCATTTTCTTTTGGATCAATTTTGTCTGCTGATGATTCTTGAGCTCGTTTTTCTTCTTCTTTTTGGTGTTTTAATTTTTCTATTCGAGAGGATTGTCTTCTTGGTTGCATCTCCATTAACCTTTTCCTAAAGAATAATTTTGTTGTAAACTGAGGATTGTCAGTAAATAATACACTACTACACTCCCTCTTGATTGTATACATTAGGTTAGGACTAGGATAACTACAAGTGCATCATAGACTCGTGGAAATAAGTTGCTTTGTCTTTAATCACTTTAATTAAAGAACATGTGTCAACTATCAACTATTCATCTATAATAATGTTTTCTTGTATGATTTCTTCACTGTTTATAATGTAGGTACTGTAACTTATCAAATTTTCTCACTTAATGTGTGAATTTAAAATACTCATCAATATTTTTATCAACTTTCAATGGTTTGGACTTAATTGAGTTAGAACAAGGGTATAGTCCTGATGACTTTTATAAACAATGGTAGTTTAGTAAAATTTGAAACCTTGTAATAATGAGGTGTTGCTAACTACTAATTTGAAAACCTAAGACAATAAATTTAGTTAATACCATAGAAAAATAGAATAAATATAGACTGTCAAAGGAATGTTCCAGCACCCACCACTAGGAGTGCCGTGTAGTTACGGCGCACACCGCTGCAGGCGAGGAGCGTAGGAGCTGTATACGACCAGCAGACGCTGCAGTGGTGTGCGCCATAACTACACGGCAACCATAGCGGTAGACGCCAGAACTTATGCGAACCGCAGGACAGCTGAGGGTCTATATTTATTCTATTTGTCTATGGTAATACCCAGTAAGTGAGATAGTGAAGATATTTGCAGTCAATATTTTTGACTATCTTGACATATATAGATATATTAAATTCCTACATTATAGCTGTAGCCGGTTTAAGAATGAAAATGGACATGTGACAGTAGTGAATTTATCCAACAGTTCTCAAGTTATTATTGATTTTTGTTTTGTTTTATTAATTATAGATGGGATGCCTGGAATTCCATATCCTTAAGTCAATTCTACACATGTAAAATGACAATATTCATCATCTTTTATTTTAAGATTGATGGTTAAATTCTGAGGAGGGTAGATTCTAGCTAGAGCTTACTATGTTAACTAGACTATTATTTAACCTTGCAATTTATAAGGTCAACGTTAGATAGCAACAAGACCCGGGGAGTTTTTCTGTGCCCTAAAAAAATTAAACAATAAAATACCTAGAGTATGACAAAACAAAAAATCACAACTTACTTTTGCAGCCGTTCCTTTTCTTCGAACAGTCTCGGTATTTCTGGCAGGAAGTCTTCGGCTAGCACAGAGTGTAACGCTCGCTCCTCTCTACACTGGGAGTCCTCCATCTTGTAAGCGAGTCGCTCCCAGTCACTCTCTGTGTAACACACCACTTGCCACTCTCCACACCCCATATCCGGCTCCGACTCGCTCTCGCTACGCGACTTTCGGCCGTGCTTCTTCTCACGAGCCTTCTTCTTCTTCTTTTTCTGCAAAATAAACCACTATCATAACAAATTTGTAAGACATTTGAAATTGTTTGGGTACCGTACCGGTACATTATTTTTAAGAATGGTTAGGTTAGGTATTCTGACTGCCTAACTGCCACATATCGCTGTTTGGGTAGGTGTTTTGGTTAGTAAAAAAGCATCTGTAATGACTAGGCATAAAATTAATAAAATTCCAGTAAGAATCAGATTACTTTGTTATGGAATGATTGAGTGATACACTAAACATTGAAGTAATAGGGCATTAAAACTACACTACAAGCCATGGGTGCGTTGCTAGCCCAGTGGTTGGCATCTCAGATTTTGGTGCGAGAGGGATGGGTTCAATTACCGACACATAACTCCACAAAACTCTAACGGGTTTTGGACCACTTTTCCTTTAAGCGTTTAAACTAACTCTTCAACTTCAAACAAAAATGCTACCAGAACATGAGCAAAAAATGTACAGGGTGGTTATAAATTATTGGACACATTTTAAGATTAAATAACTAAATAACAAAAATACACAAAAATATTCTTTGTGATTTATTTCGTGTATCAAGGCTCTTAACTCTAATTTTCTCAAGTATATTGTTGACTGTTGGAAATTGTTTCAAAACTATATTATAACATGAAAAAGGTGTTTTAGCTTTTCACAAAAATGCTTGGTTCAAATATTCCGATTGGTTGAAATCAATTTTCAAGGTTGGATTAATAAATTCAGTAATGGTTTTTAAATTGTTAATTTTTATTACACCTTTGGTTAATATAATTGATTGATCAAGCCTAACCATAGACTGGCCAACAAAAGTAGACTTTTCATCTCATTGTACATTTTGAAGCTCGTATTTCATGTCTAGTTCATGTACGATGACAATGGGCGCTAATGTTGACAAAATTTTGTTTCTATTATTTTAGGGGTAATTTCTTGATTTTGCTTTACTGTTTGGTTATATAACTAGGGCACGAGTAATCGCTTATGAATAACTTAGCGCGTATTATTTGGCTAAACAAGGTTTTAAATGACTGAAATAACAAGAAACATATTGTTAACAAAATACGACCAATACAGTGAACCGTACAGAACTAACAATAAAATTTGCTTCAGCTATTCCATAAGGATGAGAAATCTACTAAAGGAGTGTGTTTTGTCTATGGCCTAACATTGTAAAAAAACTAAAACATATCACTAATACCAAATCAATTACTCATACTTACTGCTCTATGTGGGTAGTCTTCTCTGTAGAGACGAGTGCCATAGAAATACCAGTACGCAGATCTGTTCTCATCATATCCAAGAGGGTGTACTCGTAAGCTATCCGAGTCCAGGTTCTATTGCAAATTAGAAAAAAATGTAGGTTAGGTAGCTACAAGTGAGAGTAAGTGGGAAAGTGAAAAGAAATTCTAATTTCAGGATGTAACATAGAGCACAACAGCATAGGTTTTGGATTTTAGTCAAAATAGCAGATTTACCTGAATGGGAAAGAGTCCAGTCCGGCTGAAGAAACACATAATCTACTCGTACAAATAATAGAATTTAATAAGTCTCAAGATCCAATAGTGGCCAAGAAGTATAATTGTGGAACATTCCAAATTTTAGGTAAACTACTTGTAAGTACAAGGTTTTTGTGTTTCTTGTATCAGAATGAACTATTTTCCATTCAACTAGACTAACCATGTTATTACACAAAAATCCTATTCATTTAGTAGCCTAATTTATTAAACACAATTTGACTATAATTCCTTGTTGGGAATCTGGATTCCGGTACTTAAACTACTAGCTGGGAACATTTTGTCTAAAATTAGCAGTAGCAACAATACTATCCATCCCTCAATTTTAAATAGTCCTAATCATTAAAAGAATATTTCATTAAAAAATACAAAAAATATTATACCCTACAGTTGATTGATTAAACAAAACATATTTTGTACCTTGAGAACATCCATGACATCGTCCGCATCGAGTCGAAAATCACAAAGGGCATGCAAGATTTCCACCTTCGTGCGTAAAGGCAGGAACTGGAAGTCGATGTCCGAATTGAAAGGGTTTTCTTTTCCATATTCCTTTAAAAATAATTGATCACATAAGATTTCAAACATAAAGAAACCGCAAATAAGAAAATATAAGATTTAGCCTAAATTACGATGTATGCAATTTCATAAAATTGTGTATCAGAGTCTGAGGAAACTAACTACCTACTTATTGAATACGTAGCATGTCATCATCAAAACAGAGGATCCAAAGCTGGATCCTGTTATCCTTGATCCTTGGGATTTAGCCTACCCTAAATAATAGTCCAGCATAAAGAAATGAGCCAAGTACAGGTCATCTCACTCCTATCTACACAAAGGATTACTTATGTGTTCCACCTTGCACTCATATGCAGCTTAAATATTATGTTCAAATGTCAATATTGTTACTGTGTTAATTTGACAGCATTTTATGAAATGGATTTAAAAAAAAATTCAAGCTTAAAATATAACAAACGTCCTTTTTAAATATGTTTGCTACCAAAGTTATTTTCTATCTTATCGAGGAATTAGTTAGATGCCTGCATAGGGCCTGAAATTAAATTAAACAAACTAACTAGGCCTAGGTTATTTTTTTTATTAAATAATACTAAAATATTTCAACTAGTGGGAAAAATAATACTCACTCGACATTTCTGTCGGAAAAGTCGCCGCAAGAACATCTGGTAATTGAACGTGGAAATTCCATTGTTGCCGAGACAGCCACACAGTAATCGGACAATTAGCTCTTGGAGTAGGGAACTTCCAGTGTCTTCAGCTCCATCAGTGAGTAAAGCCTCCTCCAACTCCTGTTAGGGGAAAAAAGGTTGAAGTTAGGTTATTAGGAGGAGAACAAATGTGCTTGATTACGATACGACAAGAATAGTGATGAAGCAAAACACATAAAATAAAAGAGCAGACTTCATAGGAGATATTATAGGATAGGCCTATAAGGGAGATTTAAGAAAACCTTAACCTAGGCAATCAAGATATGATGGATGTTGCATGAAGAATAAAGAAAAAATAAATTAATTTAAAATTAATAAAGAAAAAAAGGTATGATACGATGGTGGTTTTTTTTTAAAAAAAAGGGCAGGGTGTTTTCACATATAAATCCATACTTTGCTTGCTTGTACCACGCCCATTGGGGATGTATCATAACTTTCCATGACTTTTTACCTATTTCCAAAACTTTCAATGACCAGGATTTTTTCCATAACCATCCCTGACTTTCCAGAATGTGGACACCCTGCACTTAACCATATTATTTTGCCTAAAGTTAAAGTTTAACTTAATCCCTGATAATGTAGCAATCAACTTACCTCAATATCAAAATCCAAAAGGTTAAATGCAACTCGGAAGAGGGAGCAAAAGTGGGCAATACTTGGTACTTCCCACCATGATTGTATATCTGTAAAAAACAACAAAGGTTATTTTTTAGGTATAGGTTAAATCAAGCTTTTTAATAGTCTTTAACCCTTTGAGCCCCAAGTGCCGATATATCGTCTTGTCAATATTGTGCTGAAAATGACACAGTGCCGATAAATCGGCACCCCAAGGTCATGGGCAGAAAGACAATACCGGTATGCCGATATATCGGCCATCTAATATTTTATAGTAGGCCTAATAGCACTATTTTAACATTTTTTTTGTCTCAGAAAACGTCATTGCGTAGCCAAAGCATAAAAAATTATATTACAAGTAATATTTTGTCCATTTTTAGTGAATTTCCCTAGAGGAAAGTAGCTATTCAATGTATTTATGTACAAGAAATGAATAAAGTAGTTTTGAATTGAATTACCTACCGTAGGTGGCACGGTAAAACCTAGGCCCGGGACCGAATTACTTTTTATTTCCATGTCCCCAGAGGCCAAAAACACAATTCGTTCAAATTTTTATACTATATATATATATATTATTAATATATATATGTCTGTGAACGCAATAACACGAGTGATTTCTGTCCGATATTGATGAAATTTGGTGTAGGGAATTGTAATTTGATGTTTTTTGTTTAAAGGTGTAAGGCGGGATTAACTTGAATGAGTTCTCGAACGAGCATGATCAGACCATGGGAACGGGGTTTTATGGGGTAAAAATTGGTTTTTCTAATTTTTGACCCTCAAAACACAAAATATCCCAATTTTTCTCTAGATCTTTTTAAAGAGCTTAAAAAACAAATAATTCAGTAGGCTACATCAAAGTGTTTTTGTATGGTTATTGGTTACAGTGAAAATATAAAAAAATGTTCATTTATAATTCCCGTGTTACTCTTATGGAGAATATTGTAAAATGTTGTAGTTGGCTTGTTTATGGATGTATTTTTGATCAAACTTGGCAAATTTATTGATTTTATACTAAGCTATTAATATTTTACTAAAAACACACTTTATTAGTTTCCTTGAGGCAGTAAACCTAGGTACCGTACTCGTTAAACTAATGTTATTTAAATATATTTAATTGAAAATTTAATTAATTCAGACAAATGAAAATTTGCTTGAAAAAGACAGCAGGTTTGCTGCGGCAGGGGTATTTTTACTACAGATTTGTGTTGTTTGAAGTGCATTTCAAAACTTTTATTATTCTTTAAGGGAGTTTATCAAAACATCATAACGATAATCAACTATGAACTACGTCTGTAATTGCATAAGTATTTGGGTGCATGCTATGGCCCTTGCATGGACATAGAAACCTATTTTCATAACTAACTAACTTAGGCCTAGTTCCTAACTAGAAAACATTAAAATTTTCTTTTAAGTTCTTTATCCTTTATTTCTTGCATGTTGAATGTTTTATTTGTCCAAAATATAGATAAAAAAAGAACTAGGACAGAATCTCCTGTAGTGAAAACACGCTGTTGAAATTAATATGGAAGAAGCTGGTTTGAATGTGATTTCTGATTATAATAGTGACAGTAATAATATTCTAAGCAGTTCTGATACTGATTCTGTGCCGATTTTAATTCAAATATTCAAAATCCGCGCCAAGGCAACAGACAACACTGTCCAATCACAACGAAAGCGGAGTGATACAAGGGCAAAGGCCAAAAGTTTGGAAGCGACGAGTAAAACCATTCAGCGGCACTTGGAGCACAAACATCAATCACTGAAATACCTATCGTTGGTATTTTGGGCCATATCAATATATATTGTAGCTTGGAAAATTGCGTAGGGGTAAAATTTGTATGTGCGTCGAAATGATAGCAAATGTCAATAATTCACCGAATTGTTAATTGAAAAGTGTTGTAGTTATAAGTCGAATTAATTTGAAATTACCGGATTAGTGTTGGGGAGGGAAAATTGTCATCAACCTGATCAACCTGCATCGAACTGTTTGTAAATGTCTATCTCTCATTGGATTAATTATCATGACGGTTTTTCAGTTGATTCAAAATCACGCCAGCTCGAAAAATTAAGAATTGATCAGTCCAATATCGTGATGAACCGTTGTCAAGAAAATTTCGCTCGGTTGACACAGCTCCAAGTCAGTTTTTAAATGTCGTCCCTGAGTGAATCTTGGGTCAGTGTGTAAGTTTGTGTGGTTGACCTGTGTACGTAAGTAAATGTTTCGTATTGTCTGTCTTTTAGATACAATTTAGTATTACCAATCTGCCATTTTTCACATTTTTTGTACATGCATGCTTTGCAAATCCTGTTCTAGTTGGTCCGTCTGTTTCACATTTTTCATGTCTTAGTTGGTCCGTAACGGTTTTATATCACATGTTCTCAGATCCAGAAATGTATATTATTTAGGCTATTAAATTCGACATATGGTTACAAGTCAAGTTTGTTGTAGAGATTATTAGAAGAATAAACATCATATTAAATTGAATTATAAAGCCAATTTAATTAAAATCAATATTTATCTGTGTTCAAAGATCAATTTTTGTATTTCTATGTTAAAAGGTATATTTTTGCAGTCACAGTTGAAATTACTGTGTTACATTTTATATCTTGTGTTGTGTTATTGGTCAAGGTCAATCAACCTGTGCGAGTAGTTGATGGTGTTATAGAGGAGAGTTTCAAAGACGTTGAATTGTCCACGCTCGAAGGCTAGGGAGAACTTCAAAGATCACAAGGATAGACTCCCGTTAGAGTCTAAAAATTAATTTCAACTAGCCTAAACATTTTACCAAGGATCTGACTCAGTAGTCGATTGGCCCCATTTGTAGGCTATTGTTAATACTGTTATACTGTTAATACTGTTCAATGAAATTGCGACCATACATAGTAGGTATTTTAAGCCAAGTATTGTACATCGCAGTGGTACTTTGGCAGTCCACTGGCAAACAAGTCCCTATTGCATATAACATACAACCGGCCGGCTGTAAAGTATACATTTGGGGAGACTGGTGATCTAAATAAATGGAATCGTTTGTACAAATAAATTAGTTTTTCTCTATTACCTATTCCCGGGACAGTGCATATTAGTGGAGTTGATATGATTCGAATCATATTAAACATCACAATCATATCCTCCACTTGGACAAAGTAAGCTTTCCTCTGACTATATTATATCTAAACTTGGTATCCTCCATTCCCTGCTGTATGACTTGTAAAATTATTTAATAGTCCATTCAATATACACATTCTCTTTCAAATACCATATTTTATTCTCCTGCAGTTTGACCATAGAATGTCTATTTTAAGAGTGACAAATTTTTGAGAGTAACGGCTTAACGGCTTATTTATCTATATAAATAATAAAATTAGAGTTTTGTCTGTACATTGATCAGAATCATAAATTTTTAGGTTACTTTTTACGTTTTATACATTAAAGAAGCCGAAACAAGTCTCATCTCAATTTCTGTCTGTCACGGCCCAAGAGCCATTTTATGCGGCCTTCTCCTGAAAAATGAGAGTACCTATCAAGATCCGAATCATTTTAATGTATTCACTGGATTGGCGAGAGTGTCTTTAGCTATTAAAATATGGCCTCACCGCCTCACTACTGTGTAAATAAACTTACGGACGTTTAAAAACCCAATTTTGTGCGATTTTTGTCAAGTTTTCTCCCAATGTTTATCAAATAATCATCTATGAAATAGCGAACAGCTGTTCGGATCAAGATTATTTTTCTCTAGCTGTCACTGATATGTTTACAATGAATGTTGTTTACAAATACCGAAATCATTTCCGATCATGTTTCAAAAGCAAATCCAAACCAAGTTGGATTAAAACGGGGTTTTTTTACATAACGGATTTAATTAATCGCAAGTGCAATAATGTGTAGGGTAACCGTAAATGAAAATAGAGATTCTTTGTGTATAAAATTTTTCTTGAGTTTTGATAACCGGGAAAAAGACCTTTGAATCAGTGTGGTACATGGCTGGGAAACTTACATTTTTTACATAAGCATTACCAATAGCTTACATAAAAGGTTCCAACTCATTGATGGCACTTCAATGGTGGTTGTGTAAAGTGCAAAGTGACAACTGCAGTGGGTGATTGTAACAGAGGTTTACGGATTATGTTCAAATCGCTTTTCCAATGTGTCTTCTCAATGCTATGTGCTGCTCGCTGGACCATACAGCCAATAGACCAATTGCCATATGCGACATTACAGAAGGTTCTAAAAAATATAAATACCCCCGCCACAGCAAACCTGCTGACTAAGCGAATTTCCATTTGCCTGGATTGATTTTCAATTAATCTATTAAATTAACATTTATGTTCAACGAGTAGGGCCTACCTAGGTTTATTGCTACGGTATATATATAATTTATGTGAATTTGAATGGATGGTGTTTTTGGCCTCAAACAAATAAGTAAAGTTATTAAGGTCCCAGGTCCAGGTCTTACCATGAGTAGGCCTACTAGGTAAAAGAAAACTGAATTAACCTTCCAGAGGTCGCATCACGGAAGAAACCTCCAGGGATGTTTAGTTTTTCGCGATTATATTATTTTGAGTTGTGTCGGCAGTGTGAGGGTCACTGTACCTCACGCATCTCATTCCTAGAATCGAGTGAAGGTCAAAACCACAGCCACCTCTAATACAAGGCCGCGGCGAGCGAAAAGTGGCAATGTTGCATCCGTGTCTTGGTGCGCGGTTGTCTTACCATTACAGCGAATGGAGGAGTCGCGTACTCTACGTACATAATCGCGTTTCTAATACACTTAATCATTAGTAATGACATTGAACTTGTTACTACAGCATGCCAGATAGATGTGACGTGCCTGGATGCAAAAATAATTACGAAAGCTCAATTAAAAATTAATAATACGTACAGTGTTCTAAGATTCTAAGTGATCCGCCGCTTAAGCAACAATGGCTTCCTGCTATTCTTCGGTAAAATAAGACATCTTAAAACAATTCTCGTTTTTGTGTGAAACATTTTCACGAATATGAAATTAGATTTGTAAAAAATTTTAGGAATAAGACAATGATTCATGTAAATATAGACGCGAGAAGC